GCCATGTGGTGAGAAGTCTTGAACCGAGACACCTGTTTGCCGACTCTCTTCTCAAAGCACACTGTGCATCTGCTGCGCTGCAGCTTTTTCCACAGAAACCTGAGAGAGTGGGTGCTGGACATTCTTTAATAATGAAGGGATGCTCTGCTTACAGTTCAGTTCTTAGCTTTCTCAGGCTGTCTGGCCTCTTACTGCAGTTTAAAGGCAGATGAGTGCTTTGTTTTTCATCAGGCTGACTTAAAGTCTTTAAATATCAGAGATTGATTGGTTAATTGTGGCCACTGGGAAGCTGGCGCTTCTCACTGCACTGTCACTGAAACACCACATGTAATTATAACAGTGTAATTCAGTGAAGGCCACAGAGAACAGGTTAACCTGTCAGTGTTCAGCTCTGCTGCAAGGCTGACGTCACATCGTGCTGCATCCTCCCACTGCTGTGCAACACCGGACACTTCCATCTCTGTTTTTCTCCTTCTCTGTTCTTGTTCTATTACCACATCCTGTTTGTTCAGTTGCCTTTTCATTTTCATTTTCCTCATCAGTTTCAGTGATTATGCTCTCCCTCTGTGGGGTTTTAGGATGTATGAACAGCTCTCAGCCTCCTTTCCTCCCCCTCTTCCTGTCGCTGCTGCTCGTTCTCAGCGCAGCAGGTTTGGCTGCTCGACCAGTTCCTATCTCCTCTCTGTGCCTTTGTCGCTTTATAGATAAAACATCAAAGCATATCCTCCGTAGGAAAAAAAAGGATTTTAGAAACATTCACTTGCGCTCATTTTCTTCTTAAATCCCCTTTCTGCTACTTCATTCGCTTAAATCCTTCTTTCCATGCCTCTGTCATCGTTTCTAACAGGCAATTGTTCATACTGTGTTGAACTAAATGTATAACCTGTCACATCAATATATAATCAACATATTCATTATAGATGTACATCATGAAAACAAATTAGTTTTGTTTTTATTTTTCTCAAATATATTTTAAAAATGCCTTTATTGCAAACAGAACATCTTTTTTTTTTTTTTCATCCTTGCAGAGTTTCACTGAGCTGGAGTTTCCCATTTTAGGTCAGCAAAACAACAGAAATAAATATACTGCACATTCTCTGCATCAACACAGGGTCCATTGACTTGGAAAGTGTTTGTATTTTTATCCCTGCTTTTGTTAAATATTGAAATTAATTTAGTGTTTAAAATCCATCTGATTTCACCATGACTGCAGCACTACATGCTGCTGCTGTTGGGGGATTTATACGGAGTGTAAAGCTTTTTGCAGCAGGGAAATATTTCCAATGAAGTGCCTAATATCTAACATAAAGATGTACGAGTTGTGGTTTTGTCCCTGGTATCAGCTTATTTCCCCCGATCCTCTGTTTCTCTTTATAGGGGTTGTTTTTCTTTAGTATCTAGCCCCATCTTCTGTTGTGTTAATGTCTTGCATCCTCTGTCTCTTTCTCTGGCATCCGTGATTACTCACATGTGTCATCACTTGGTCTAATTGGTGTTTCCTGTAGGTCTGTGTCTCTGTGTTAGTCCTTGTCCTGACATTGTTATCTGTCCACTGGTGACGCCCTGTCCCTTGTGACATCCTGTCCCTTGTGACTCCTAGTCTGCTCCTTGTGTTCATTTCCTGGTTTATGTAAGTTTGTTGCCTCATCAACCAAGTTACATGAAACAATACAAATTTGTTTTATAAAGGAACTAGTCACCTGTTGCCTTTTGTATCCCAAAAGTTGGATCAAAATCAATATATTTTCCTTACATGGTTTTTATGATTAAGTTGATGTTCAAACGCACATATTAGAGAAAGTACATTAAAAGTTACTAGAGCACAAAATGACAAGAAGTAGAATAAAACACAACCTCTTGAAGTTTTCATTTTAGTGAGGAGATTCAGAGGTTTAGTTTCTCCTGTCGCAGCTCCGTGCTGTCATTTGTGAGTAGATTTGAGGACCTTCATGTCTCCGACTAGTTGCAGGGCTGCAGGCAGCAGCAGCCCGAGGAGTAAGGTTTCACAGGCAGAGCTATATCTGCCTGTCTGTCATCACTAATCAGGATGAGGGCTATATGGGTAAGTATCACTGGCAGTTAATACCCCAGGCTTACACGGCCATCTTGGATGTGTCCCAGTAACCTTCTTCCTCAGAGCCCCCCAGACATGTGCCTGTGAGGTGCTTTATTTGGGTCCTTAAGATGTGTTTGAATTCTAATAAAACATGTATATAACTCAACACATGTGTAAGACCATGAGACCTTTTTGATGTGTGTAGTTCCAAAAGTTTGGGTCACAAAATACAAAATGAGGATGGACAAAAAAAAATCAAATTAAAAGTAAAAAATAAAGATTGCAAATGGCTAAATGTTATAATTGTTGTAAAAGATTTTAAAAATATTGTAAAAAGTTGTCATGACGGAATAAAAATACAAAAACAAAGTTCGTCAAAGCTGTTTGTGCTGCCATTATGTTCTTGTTTACGTGACTATTTTTATTGTTTATGACCACAATCTCTGCTGCTGTTATTGTGGGTCAGGAGGTAAAAAGTTGGGACCACTAAAACAAACAATGCTAACCACTTGACCCTGCACCATACCACATTTTAAACAAAATCTAAAACATATATGCGTAACTTTTCTTAATAATGACCCAGATGTAAACTCTAAACCATCACACAAGGATTGTATTTAGGCATCTTTGTGTTTCAGTGTTTTCCTGTGTCCTCGTCAGTGTGTGCTTTTGAACGTGCTTCAGTTCTTTTAGTAGCTAGCTGTCATCTGTCACTGTCAGGCTCATTTTAGATAATCCCACCACTCAATGTTCATCATCAACTCAGCAGAGCAGTTTTGGTGGTGAAGAAGGACAAGAAAATTCAGAAGCTAATCCTCTCTGACAGCCTCATCAGCACATCACACCAGCAAGCTATCAGCCTAGGCGATGCAGTCAGCTGCAGAACCCACAGAGGACTGAACCAGGAGAAAAACTGGGTTTACTGAGGGTTATGTTCGATATGGAACGCTGTACGATTAGAGCCAGGTTAAACAATGTGAAAAGAGCAGGCAACAATACACTTTAATAAGACTTTGTGAGTAAATCCTCTTTCATCTTGGAAATTCATCTTGAAAATAGCCTGTTTTTGCTGCAGTCTGAAACTTCCATCACAGTCATCCGCAGATGTTCTTTGCTTGTTTTGCTGCACAGCAGTTTTTGAGTTTTTGCCTCATCTGCATTCAAAAAGCGATCCCATAACAATAGTAAACTGTACCTTTCTTACTGTTCAGAGATCCAGCCAGTTTAGATTCCTCCTTTTTTTTTCTAACTTTTTGACTTTTTTGTCTCGCCTCACGCCAACCTCTATTTTTTTCTGGTATTTTACAATTTTTAGATCATTTATGTTTGGGTTTTTTTCACATTCTCCCTGTTGATTGTGAAATTTGTGCAAAGATGGGGAGTTGATTTGCAAATGTCTTGTCAGCAGCTGTTGGTAAATAAGAAGAGCTATGTGTTTTTGGCCTTGCTGTAGTGGGGGAAAAAATCCCATCCCTCACCTGCAACCATGAGATACAGATCATGGTGGATAAAATACAATCTTGTGTCCAAGTGACTGAAATGAGCTCAGTAAGTCAGGTGGTCAGGCTCACCCTTAGATACTTTGTCATCTGGAGGAGAGTATGGAGAGCCACTGCTCCTTATAATGAAAAATAAAAATGAGCACGTACGACTCTATGTAATGCAACTTTCCCACGCTTCTACAAAAGCCTGTTCATCCATCCATTTTCTACTTCTTTCCAGGTCACAGAGGGAGCTTGTATCTTTCTTTGGGCATAAACTCCAGTCATTAATATTTTGTGCTTGTAATTTTTTTTTTTTTTTTTCAAATTAAGTTTTATAACCTTGAAAAATAAGATGGCTGAGAATTTCTGCTTTGAGCATTTGTAAATAAGAATGCGTGTGTGTATAAAAGATTAGTATTTGTAAAATGTAATTATACAAGTTACATTTTTTTGTTAATGCCTGTTTACTAGATACAAAGCAAAAAAACTGTGTGTGAAACGCTGCGCTCGAGTTCCCTAACTTGTCTGTGAGTTTCAACTTGCACATGTGAGTTATGACAGGATGTCCTCAGGTCAACATCATTTCAATCACAAATTTAACAACCCAGTCAGAGAGCACATGGGTTGGTCCGTCTGGGGCAGCACTTTACTGAACTGCAGGTCCTGGAAGTGTAGCACATTTTGAAGATGGAGGGCGGCGCCAGCGTGGTTACACATGTGTGCACGGGCTCAAAAACCTCCACCCTGAAAGAGTGAGAGGCAGATCCTGTGACCTTCATACTATTCATACAGCTCTAACAACTGTTTGGCCGTGCTAAAATAGTTATAGGTTTTGTGAACACTGAGTTATGTGAGAACATATTTTGTATGATTTGAGCAACTGCACTGTAAAAAATACGTGAACCTAAGAAATTGCCTCTTGTGTGCAAAACTATGCCTTTTGTCATTACTTGATCCCTGAACCTAACAAGTTATTACAAACTGCTCATTTCTACTTATTGTTTGATTGCTTTATATTAAAGCAGGATTTTATACATTTTACACTCCTCTTCAAAAGGCGTCAGCTGCGGTGGTTCAGTGAGCTGATAAGGATGCCTCCTGGTCGTCTCCTTTTACAGGAAAACCTGAGGAACCTTCTCGAGGGATCGTTTAGCTTTTCTAGCTTTTGAATGACTTGGATAGATTTAGTTGGAGAGTGTCTCCATGAAGATGGATGGCTGTTAGCAACCAACCCACAGAAACACAGTGTGTGGATGGATAAACAAAGAAAAGGAGTTAAAACTATGTAGTGAATTTTCAGTGAGACAAAATTAGTATTATTAATCTTTTTGCCACCAGTAGGTGTTGTTGGATGGGCCTGTGGAATATGAGTGGCAGAAAAAGAAAAACAGAATATTGGTTGTAAAAGAGTCAAACATATTTTATTTAATCTTGTGAAATACCTTCTTTTTTTAATCCAGAATCAAGCAGAGGCCCACTATAAAGGGAACCGCCATGCTCGAAGGGTGAAAGGTATTGAGACACCCAAGACGTCTCGCCTCCAAGATGGAGACAAACAGCCCCCTCCTGCTTCGCCCTCTCCACCCGGTCTCCTGCCATGCAGCCCTGATCCTAATTATACCAAGCAGGGTGAGCTCACTTTCAAATGACACGTTAACAAATGTGCACGAGTGAAGAAACTGTCCCAGATTCACACAGATGAAATGATGAAACAGTCTGAACTAACCAGAACAGAGTTTTGTGTCCGCTTGTTTGAAACTCCACAAACCTGCAAATAAAATATAAATTAAATTAACAACCCACTTTCACAGCTGTCTTACAGAAATTCATCTGAACAACGATGATAAAATGTTAAATGTGAGATTGTTGTACTTCTAGATGACACCGAGTCCCCTCCCAGCTTCAAAGAGTCACCCCTGACCCCCAGCAGCCTCTCAGCGCAGATCCCAGCAGACCCAGAGTGTCCTCTTTTGTCGTCTGTCAGCACGCCTTTGCCGTCCTCGTCTTCATCCCCTTTTGCAGCCCTCAGTAACCCCTCGGCGGATCCAGACACGCCGTCCCCAGCCCCCAGTCCCTCTTCAGGAGAGTCAGAGGAGGAGAAAGCAAAGAAGCTCCTCTACTGCTCTGTCTGCAAAGTAGCTGTTAACTCCGTCTCACAGCTGGAGGCACATAACAAAGGTTAGTCCAGCTTTTTCAGAGCACATCTGCATTAAATATACTGCATTACAAGCTGTCAAGAGCAATAACAAAAACTCCACTGTGGCTCTTTTGAAAGGATCTTTCTGGATTTTAACTTTAGGAAACTAAAACAGGTGCATTGCAGCTGCATAAATACCTACTGTAGTTAAAACAAGGTTTGACTACAAATCTCACCAAATCTACATTAAATCCAATCTCACCCACCCAACAATGCAATTACAAAAATATTAATCTTACATTTGAACTTGATATATTTTGTATCTGGAGTTTTGGAGGTTTCTATCATCTCACTTGACACTCTGGAGGTTTGTCCAGGCATAGAATTGCAAATTAACATCGTTTTTTTTTAACAACTTGGAGGACTTTTCACCCACACAGTTTAACAAAAAAAAAAAAAACAAGTGCAGGAGCGAAGCTTGAGAGACTTTTACAGTCCCATTTCTTATATTTGAATTTGTTTGAGTAGCAGTAATAGATGGGAAATAAGTGCAGGAGATAGAGGCGCTATTCTTGGGTTTTCTGTTCCTGGTCTTTGATTAAAATGCAACTTCTGAGCTTTATTTAAAATAAGATGCGTGCAATCTTCTGGATATCTTCTATCCAAGTATATTTAATTATTTCAAAGTAATCTGGTGAAAAGCTGTTGTTCAGTGACCACTAAAGTTACAAGGCATAACTCAGTGATTGACTTTACAGGCAAACTTAATTATTTTTAATTGTTTTCAGGTACCAAACACAAAACTATCCTGGAAGCTCAAAGTGGACTTGGCCCCATTAAAGTGTACCCACGGTTGGGTCCCAAACCCAGCCCTGAGCAGGGCAGGGAGGTTTCCAATGACCCAAACTCTCAGGAACGCACCTTCCACTGTGAGATATGCAACGTCAGAGTCAGCTCTGAGCTGCAGCTGAAACAGGTGAAAACTACACAGGAGTGAATTCTTTGACTTTTACTGAAAAAAATATATATATATTTGTTCTTCATTTCTTGCTTTGACTTTGCAGCATATATCAAGCAGGAGGCATCGGGATGGAGTTGCGGGCAAACCTAATCCTCTGCTCAGTCGGCACAAGAAGCGCAAAGACTTCATGGTACAGATTCACGTTGTTACTCTCACGCTCTATATATTTCATCTCTTTCTCTTAAAACCCGCCGTTAAAGATTGATTTTTGAATGCATCCTTCGTCTCGGTTGTTTGACAGTCTGATTTATCTTGACTCTTTCAAAGGAACTTCCAAAAACCCTGGGGCCTGGACTTTTACCAAATCCTCTGGTTGTTGTTGCGGCGATGGCAGCGGCAGCATCTTCAAATCAGCTGGCACTCTGTCCTCCTGGGCTGACCTCCCGCCCTCACCACCCCCATCCCCACCTCCTACAGGGAACGCCCTTGAGCTTGCTGAGGCCGGCCCCGGGCCCCATCCGCACCGCACACGGGCCAGTTCTCTTCACCCCTTACTGACAAAGGGAAGTAAGGAGGGATCAGAAAGAAGCACACTGTGATCTGGAGGCAAACATGTGCCATCAAGAGACAAACTTTAATTTATAAAAGACAGACACATTATTTGTTATTCTGTAGAGACATCATTTTCCATCCTCTTGTTTCCCTTCATCTTTTAAGTGATAGCTCAGATTTTATCGAAGTAGGGTTGTGTGAAATATTATACACAATTAATGTCTAACCTGTTGTGGATAGCTCTTTGAACTACTTCAGTCTGGAGAAACAAATTTCTGAATCTGACTTGATTATTGCGCTAACAGCGAGTCAGAGGATCAGAGGATCAAAGTTTATTGCTGCCATCTTAAAACTTCTCCCATTTTAAAAGATTTACAGTGGTTTATGCAATTGTTATTTTATAAACCTTGGCACCACCAATAATTTCACATTACATTTATATTCAGTGGTTCGTATTGCCGGTAGTAAGTCGGACCCCTTCAGGGTGGGAGTTGGACTCTACCAGGGCTGCCCGTTGTCACCGATTCTGTTCGTAACTTTGATTGACAGAATTTCTTGATGCAGCCAGGGGGCGGAGGGATTCCGGCTCGGTAGCCTCAGGAGTCCATCTCTGCTCTTTGCAAATGATGTGGTCCAGTTGGCGTCATCGTGTCATGATCTTCAGCTCTCATTGGAGCGGTTTGCAGCCAAGTATGAAGTGGCTGGGATGAGAATCAGCACCTCCAAATCTGAGGCCATGGTCCTCAATCGGAAAAGGGTGGATTGCTCGCTTCGGGTCGAGGGTGAGGTTCTGCCTCAAATGGAGGAGTTCATGTATTTTTGGGGTTTTGTTCACGAGTGACGGAAGAATGGAATGTGAGGTTGACAAGACAGATTGGTGCAGCGTCTGCAGTATTGCGGACTCTGTGCTGGTCCGTTGTGGTGAAGAAGGAACTGAGCCATAAGGCAAAGCTCTCTATTTACCCGTCGGTCTACGTTCCTACCCTCACCTATGGTCATGAATTTTGGGTAGTGACCAAAAGAATATCGTGGATACGGGCAGTTGAAATGAGTTTCCTCTGCAGGGTGGCTGTACTCTCCCTTACAGATAGGGTGAGAAGTTCAGTCAACCAGGAGAGACTCAGAGTAGAACCGATGCTCCTCCACAACAAGAGGAGCCAGTTGAGGTGGTTCGGGCATCTGGTAATGATGTCCCCTGGGTGCCTCCCTAGGGAGGTGCTTCGGGCATGTTCGACTGGGAGGAGAACCCAGAGAATACCCAGAACACGCTAGAGAGACTATGTCTCTCGGTTGGCCTGGGAACACCTTGGGTTTCTCCCAGAAGAGCTGGTCTTAAAAATCCATCCATCCATCCATTATCTTTACCCGCTTATTCAATTTTGGGTCACGGGGGTCGCTGGTGCCCATGTCCAGCAATCACTGTGCGAGGGGCGGGGTACACCCTGGACGGGTCGCAAGTCCATCACAGGGCCACATAGAGACAAACGAGACAAACAACCATTCACTCTCTCATTCACACCTAGGGACAATTTAGAGTTACCAATCAGCCTAACATGCATGTTTTTGGTCTGTGGGAGGAAACCGGAGTACTCGGAGAAAACCCACGCATGCACGGAGAGAACATGCAAACTCCACCCAGAAAGGCCGCTGGACCGGGGTTTGAACCAAGGACCTTCTCGCTGAGAGGCAGCAGCTCTACCAGTTGCGCCACCGTGCTGCCCTGGTCTTAAAAATGTTTATTAAAATAGCATTTGCATGAATCACTGTGGCATTATTCTTAAGTGAGCACCAGCCCACTTTGCTCTCAACCACACTCAAGTTAGCTGTTGATCCAGACAGAATTAAACTCTTTATCCAAACTGAGCTTGCCCAAAGAGCTATGCACAACAGGTAAGATGTTAGTTGTTCATACCTCATTTACAGAATCCTATTTAAAAAAAATCTGAACTGTTCGTTTATCATTGAGTGATCAGCATGTTTGTACAAACAGTTTGAAGAGGAACCTGTAAACCATTTTTTTTACCAATCTTTTTCCAATGTCTACCAGTTTGCAACTTAACAGCTTCATCCCTCACGTGGTCCTCTGCATCGGACCGAACACCCTACCTCTCTTTTGTTTCTACTGTCCATCTCTGCAAATATTCATCACAGATTCGAACCGTTGATATTGTCAAACATGGAGTTAGATGTAGTAGTTGCGTCTGATGTTAGATGTGTAGTGGACTGCATCACTGTAAACCTCCACCTCCGTGGTCCATCGAGAGACATAGGTTCCCACAATTCCCAGTTCTGTAGTTTCTTGGAAACACCACGGTGTACTGTGCTTCTACATTTTAATAACTGGCCTATATTTACCTCTGTGGGAGGCAAACAGGAAGTTAAAGAGGAACAGCAAAAGGTGAAATGACACATGGGTTTAAAACTGAGCAGAAGAGTGTTAGAAGATGTAACTACTGGTGCTCCATGCAGAAGCCATGTGATCTGTCCACAATGTTGGGGAAAAGAGGCAAAATGCAGAACATAGTGTAAAACACATTTTTCTGATCGGCAATGGGAAACCACAAGTGACTCGTTTCTCTAATAATTCCCACCACTAAAGGGAACAATGGTGACAAAACTTTCAGAAAGCACACAAGTGAATATCTGTGGTGAGTCTGCATGTCACTCTCCGCACCTTTACGATGAAAACCTGTCATTTTGCCTCCCGCACGCACAGCCAAGACAGTCTTCAGTGGTGTAACTTAAACACTGAGCACAGCAGGACAATTTTTCATTCATGACTTTAGTTGCAGGTAATCTGAACAATTTTGACCACAATCTTACAGAAGAAAATTGATGCAAAGGGTTGAAAGACACCAGCGTTATGCTATGACAGGACTAGAAAAAGGACCATATGAGTAGGTGTATGCAAAAAACAAAAACAAATAACCAAAATGCATCATTTTTATTGTGTTTTTGTTTTTTATGCTCTGCCTTGTGTGAACTATTAGAAGGGAATGGAAAATTTGTAGCAATACAGTCAGCACTTCTGTCATCGTTTCTTGTCAATGGCAATAAAAGAAAACAATGTTAACAAATGTAATAAATGTTAGTTAAGAGATATGTACTCAAACTTAACTGTAAATGTAGATGCTTTAAAAAAATGAGACAGTTTGTGTCGGGGCTTCCTAATTGGTATTTAAATGAAAAACATACAGAGAGCAAATTATTAAACAGAATTTATGGTTGTAAGAAGTGGATATTTCTGTTTTTATTACTTCTAAATACACAGACATATAACAATAAATCATTTTGCAATGCAAATGGTTGAACACTGACAAGCCTAGTCATAAATAATTAATGAACCTGAAGTCAAAAGCAAATCCGCATGTTGGTGTTTAAATTGCAAATAATGAGCATTTTTGTTGCTCAGTGCTGCAGATAAACAAATTATTTAGTCAGTGAGGATTTGAAAAGGGTTGGTCTCTGTTGGGCAGCTAAATAAAGTGATGCATAATTAACATGTTAAGAGGAAGTGAGACAATCGCTGGTAAAATCCACATTAACAAACAAACAGTAGAAGTTAGTGACGTTAAGGTGAGAATGCAAAGAATTACCTGTTATACTTCTATTTTAAAATGTACTTCATTTTATTTTTTTTAAGTAAAGATTAGTTTAACCTATTTTATTGCTGTTTTAAAATATTTCTTTAAAACAAAAATATATTTAATTTGGAAAGATGTTTGAGATATGAGTGTCTTAATTTATAGATGATTGGATGGATTTATTGTAAAAATGTTTATTCTATGTCTTACTACTTTTGGTTAAGTGATGATAAAAAAAAAAAAAATCTATGATTCAGAAACCCAAACAACGTTCAAAGAGATAATGTTTCACTCTGATGTTTTCATAGTTTCTGTGGTCAGTGACAGCTTCGACCAAAACCTCCGAACAGCTGGAGAACCATCTGAAGTGAAGGCAACTGTTGAGCTTTATTTAATCGTATTATAGACAAAATGTTGATGAATGACGCAAACCAAACGGAGGATGACCTCTTCTCCTGCTACAGCCCTTCAGTC